ACGCTCGAGCTAAATGCTCTTACATAGTAAAGAATAAATATACTCTACTTATTCCAAGATCTGAACCTTTAAGATCTTGGTGTGAAGATGAAAAACCCAACCTGCATAAAACAGGGCGGAGTATTTAAAAGTTCTCTTGAATATTGTCACTCAATAACATTCGTGTTATCAATTCCTTTACAGATTATTAATACGATAATCTAAAACACACTCCTGGAAAAACCGTTCTTCACTACAATGTATAAATGTTCACGTTCGTATTTTACGCATTCGCCTAAATAGACAAGTTTTTAGACACCTCGAATTGCATGCTTGCCGATGGTTTAATGTACTTATTCTTCGACTGTACCGACTTCCATCCTCCATGACTCTGCATTGACAGGTCGGACAAATCGTGGCAACCTGGATCGGATACACCACCACTCCTTAAGCTGTGAGTTCCCAACTTTCTCAAATCCTCGTAAAATACGCCCAAATTCTCTTTGATGATATCTCAAATAGGAGACGTAGATCGGCCGGAGATGCGCGATTACGCCCGTGTTTCTGAATTAACGTTTCTAACATGTAAGGTGGGACAGGATCTTTAGGTTCTCTTGGTCGAGAGAGAATTCGTCGGCAGCCTTCGTAGGTAGATTGAACCAACGGTTGCTCTGTCGGGTAGGGTAAGCGGCCAAAATATGCCCCCAACGAATGCTATACACAGCAGTATCCACAGGTGAAGTTGTCTTGGCGGAATCTAGGAATTGACGCAGATATAACGCCACGAACATAGGCTGAGCAGGAAGGTACCAAACACCAATCTTAGACATGGACCAGATCTTCCATCTGTTCCATCCGTAAGCATAGCGGACTGTCGTATTTCGATCCTTTGCATTTAACACAACCCGAGAAAGCGAGGAAGCCAACGATACAAGCGAAGGATCCTGTATTTTGGAGAAATCCTCCCACACTCCAATTTTAAACTCATCTAAATAGAAATAAGTAAATCATAATAGAATATAAACTTCGAAGACTACATTCGTCACACGACGATATGACAGCACTAAAAGACTGCATTAATTAAATAAAAATTAATTTATTTTTTTTTTTTTACGAAAATGTATCTAGCCGTTAAAAGGCAAATGTAAAATTTAATTTTTACATGAACAGGTCGAATGACCGATGAGATGACTTTGTAACCAAAATTTGGTGGCCAAAACCCCTGAAAAAATGCAAACTTGAAGTGTTTGAAAATCAACACATTAGTTGCGTTATCAGCAAATAAACCAAATACTGTAGCAAAGTGCTATTAAACAGAACAATCACACCAGAAATGGAGCGAATCAGTCGAAAAGACATGAGGATAAAAAATAAATAAAATGCTTTGAAACGCCACAATTTGTCAAAAAGACACGGTGCTAAAGACCAAGCCTAATCATCATGCTTTAAAACTCTACCCGTAAAGCCAGTAAGTCAAAACTTGGTGTTCCCGTAAAAACGGACGGTTTCTTTTGATAGGCTATCAATTGCCCTTCACCAGGAATGCACATCTGTGCTATTTTTTTTTTTTAGTAAAACTAAACTGTCCTTAACAAATGGAGCAAACTTTCCAGGTTTGGTTTTAATGGCTGGCCAAAAAATAGCGGACGGCCAACGAGGAACTATAAAGGTACCTTTGGCCTTACACACGGACATGTGTCTAATGACGGGAATGATTAAAGCCACTGGCGAACAGACCCAGTTCGCTTCGTTTGACCAATTTTTAGTAAATGCGTCAACAGCCTCTGTTTCAGGACACCAAAATCGTGAATTGAATCTTTGTAATTGTGTATTGTAATTAGCGGCGAACCTATCAATAGTAAAAGGACCCCATGCTCTATGAAGCATAACAAATAATTCTGGGTGTAACTTCCAATCATCTAAATCAATGGTTTTGCTTAACACATCGGCAGTCCTGTTTTCTGCTCGAGGAATCCATTGTGTTTCAATCATAATGTCGTTAATGAAACAAATGTTGAAAATGTCTACTGCAATATTTTGGAGTTCGAAAATTCTACTCCCGACTTGAACGATGCTACAGGCGCTCTGGCTATCTGAAAATATTTTCACCTTTTTATGCTGTAAACGTTGCACAGAAGTTTTCAAAACTAGTAGGATAGCCGATAACTTCCGGAACGTGGAACTCTTACCACTTTGCTCAACGGACCAATGTCCGTGTATATTTACATCCCTCAACGAGGTAAAATAACCACCATAACCAACGCCACTAGCGTCAGTGTGGATTGTTAAAGGTTCTAAAGACACTTTTGGCCGAATGTTATACCCGTTTAGATAACGTAAATTGTCTAACCAAAATCTCAATTCCTCCAACAAAAGATGTGGGACGCTATCCAAATGCCCTGCCCATGAATCTCTCTGAGAAATTATGAAAAAGAGTTGCCGCGAAAAAAACCTCACAGGTGGACCGACAGCTAAATACAATGAATTGATGAAACCGGCGATTTTTGCCAGTTCTCGATATGAAACGTGATTGGAAGACAAAATGTACTGAATGTTTTTCTTAACTTTCTCGATTTTCCGAGGCGGAATTTCGAATTCAAAATTGATGGCGTTAATAATCATACCAAGCCATTCTCCGATTTGCATGGGCTCCCAATGACATTTTTCCTCATTCGTTTTAAGACCGGAACACGATAAATCTTTCTTTTGAATAATACTGGCCGCAGAAGCATCAATACGACGTTTATGACCGGAAATACCGTCGTCTAAATAGACAAAAGAGGCGTAGGACATCATACGCCATCGTTTCACTAACGGCCTAAGTAATTTGGTAAAACAATAACAAGCTGAACTTAGGCCAAAAGGTAAAACACAGAAAATAAAATATCTCAACTTCCCGTTAAAATTCCACGAAAATCCTAGAAATTTTCTGGGTGCGACATAAATATCAACATGATGATAACCGGATTTAAGATCCCATGTGAAAAACCAAAAATTCTGTTCAAATAATTGAGATAATGATCGAAGATCCTCATATCGAAATGATTGTTTGAGCAAATGCCCGTTAATGTTGCGGAGATCAAGAACTAAACGTAATTTCTTTCCTTTAGCAACAGATAAAGGATTAACGCAATAGGGTGGTTCGGATTGCTCCTCAATGTATTGACCTTTCAGTAATTTAACAATTGCTTCTGAGACAAAGTCAGGATGATTCCTGGCAGATTTATTGTTAGCTAAAAAACAGGTCTCGGGAATGGACCGAAATGGAATCATATAACCGTCCTGCACTATACTTTGCACAAACTGGGAGGCGTTAAGTGTATCACGCCAGTAACTCGAACACCTGTAAAGCCCCCCCCACGCACACTATCACTACAAAAACTCGCATGCACATCGTCACTATTAGAACTAAAAAGGAATAATCCAACCTGGTCTTCCTCCTCACACTACAGATCAACTTCTAGTCAACTGCTCGATGCTGGTCTTGGGGGACACATATTGCAATTCCGCTGAAGGTGACCGGTACTGTAAACACTGTAAATAATAGAATAACATATATGACCATCAACATTAATATAATAAATAGAAAATAAGTTTGACTGAAGAACGTGTAAGCAGCGAGGAATAATCAAGGCGTGTATACGCCTTTTATACTATTGCATGACAATGTAACATAGTTATGTATTCATATCAGAACATTATTCTGCATATCAAACAATTAGATATAAATTATCTGCTAAACTGCGTAACGCAGATAATTAAAACATCTAATATAATTATATCGAATAAACACACACACACACATCAACATGTTGCTTGAAGCACTTTGTGTTTATTGCTGCTTAAACGCTCGAGGTAAGAACAAAGCAGTCGTATGACAGCTGTCGACCTATAGTGTTGTGACTCTAAAGCAAAACACAATGCTATATACATGGATGCAACACTTAACTTATAACAAGGCCCAATTGCATTCCCGCTTGGACCATTGTGGTCAGGGAACACTGGTCGACGTGAGGCCATAGAATTACGATATGGAATACGGTTTGGATAGCCCTGAAACGGCCGAGACTTTGATGTTTTGGATGCATTGGCTTTCTTCGCCTTCTTTTCAGCAGTTTTCTCTGCGCGGTCGATCCGTTTCTCGTCATCTGAATTATCGGCTAGCTCGTTAGTCATATATTCAGCTACGGTTTGCCAACCATGGTCGTTCGTATCAGCTAATTTTATAAGCTTCATTCTTGCTTCTATGGCTACTTTACCTTCTTGTAGGAAGCTGATAGCTTTATCGATGTCTTGATGCTCGAGAGCTGTGGTAGCACTTTCCACTGTGTCCAGCACACCAAGCTGGTGATTATATTGCTGCTCATTGCCCTTTGACTTAAATTGAGGTTTCTCTAAGCGAGCCTTCTTGTTCGCGAAGGTTTCTAGCGTCGCTGAATTATCAGCAGACAATTCTCTCTTCAAGTGAGCAAGCCGATCATCGACAACATTGGTAAGCTGTTGGCACATTTGTGTTAACGACTTCTCTATGAATTCTTTCATATCTTTGCGCGAGAGCTCTGGATGAGACAAGTTTGACTGAAGAACGTGTAAGCAGCGAGGAATAATCAAGGCGTGTATACGCCTTTTATACTATTGCATAACAATGTAACATAGTTATGTATTCATATCAGAACATTATTCTGCATATCAAACAATTAGATATAAATTATCTGCTAAACTGCGTAACGCAGATAATTAAAACTTTTTAAAAGCCAGGGGAGTGTATTTGAATTCTGTCTCAGGAGAAATATGGGGTTATTCATTGAAACAATGAAAATGCTAATCAACGTGAAATTTTATATAAAATTTCACGTTAATTAAAAATTCAAAAAACTAATCACCTTTGGAAACCACAACGTACATAAATATATAGCACACTAGTATATCGTTTATTAACACACAACATTAATCATTACACTTGTCTTAGTATACCTTGTAAACAAAATCAAGCCTATAGCAGCTTATAACACACTAAATATCTACATTTTTCCAAAGTAAACTGAACAGTTATTAAATACACCGCCTGACAACGTTGCACCAGAACCCGTTGCAGAACTAGTTGAAGTTTCTGTAATTTCGTTATTCCCAGGCAAACCCATAGTAGCTAATATTTCAACAATTTCATCAGGAACGTCAAAATCAAACAGGTCTGAATCGCTGTTTCTCAATGAATTTAATTGAGGAATGTCGTCCTCTAGCTCAATTACGTCATGGACAATCACTTCAGGAGGGCCTAAGATCTTAGTAACTTTACGATTTTGCTCAGAACTCTCCTTTTCATACGCCAACAAAGCGTTCGACCTATGACCGGTACGTTCTCTAAACAGCTTTTCTTCGACCTCCGACTGAAACAATCGAGTTTCACAAGTTACTCTTAAGCAATGAGACGTCTTACGACTCACGCCGGCACTTTCGCATAAATCAAGTAGAATTTTATTCAGACTATTAATGCCCAAAACCAAATTGTAATACTCGACAACAGTCTCATATTATTATTCGGTTTAAAATAGAATGCTTCATTGCTTTTAGCCAAATCCTTGACTTTTTCTATATAGGTAGAGTAACAATTTACAATGCAAGGAAAATGATTAACATCCTTCCCTGGACAACAAATATGCTGTATGACTCGTGGGTTCTATTCCAAATCTTTTAACCCACCATGATATGTTTTAGAAAAACTTTCGTCATACGTGACTGAATTGCAATCAATACGAAAATTATGCACTCTTAGGTTTCTGTGCTTTTCGACCGTATTCCAAATAACTTTCCATTGTAAAAGCCAATAGTACGGACGAGGGACTTAGCTGTTTGACATCCAAGTAGATTTTTCTTCCACATAATTTTCTCCTCTTCCTCTGTGACTGCTTCCCGAGCGTTCAGCCTTCTTATTCTTCTTTTCTACTCCAGCCTTGCAGGCCACCTTCATCTAGGCATCAAGAACGCGACGAAACATAAAGTTGAAATAAAAGCAATACATAACACGAACGAATAAGGCGATGTTTACTCCGTCTCATTCTTATCGAGAATTGAACTGGTACTTCACATTCTTCTTGCAAATGTCGGTTTAGACCGCAGGCAATAGCATACAAGGTTCTGCCAGGGTATCGTTCACCATTTGGTTTACATACTTCCTGGATAAACTTTGCTAACCAGAAATTCAGTGTCTCTCCATTTATCTGTGTAATGCTCGTATCTAAATTCTGCACTTTATTGCAATCAAATGCAAAAGAGCAGTGTTCTAATTTGGCGTCTTGATTTTGTCTTCCCATTTGCCATTCATGAAATATTATTGACGCCCATTTCGTTGAGTCCCTAGTCGATTTAGGGATAGTGCTTTCCAGCAGCTCTTTCTCATCTTCTACGCCTTTTGGTTGTCGAAACACACGAGTTGTCTTCATCGAATTCATTTCACTAAGGATACTAATACTTCAATAAATTTTCCTTTGCAATAAATCGAGCAAACAGTAAATAGACGTTCATAAGCACATGCAAAGAAAAGTTATTGCGCAAGTGGCATAATTTTTTATATTAGGAAATCAATTGTCCTTCCTTTACATCCAAGATGACATATTGTAATCCCCGGATAAGCCATCTCAATCTTAATTTATAATTTCACAGCCTATTGTTGGCTAAGTAAGTCAACCCTATCCTATAAATTAGAAAAGAACAATACGCATTGAAATCACTCTATTGTAGTCGTTTTTGAAGCCATTTAAAACACTTGACGTCGCGTTTTATTATATCTAAAATGCTCGCGCTGCGCGCTTGCATTTTAAATACGATAAAACGCCCGTTCGCGTGTTTTAAATAGTACGTAACCTGATAAACATTTATTTCATTCACATGTAAATGCAATACAATATTACAATAACTAATAAATCGTCATGGTTCTTCACTTGTTTGTTCCTAATCCTTTACAGGCCATTAGTCTTAAACAAACTCAAAAAATATACACATCGAACACCTACCTTATTGCTTTTCTCTGGCACATCATTAATTTAAACTTTTATTTCTCATTTTTTTATCGATTTTACTGGCAAATAAACTGAAAATCACTCTGACTAAACATTTTGAAAACCACGTGACTGTGTTTGTTTTGCAGCGAATTTAAAATAACATTGCTCTAATGGCTCTAGATGATAACTCGGCCATGAGCATTGGAGACTGGGGAGCAAAAACGGCATATTCTGAGTGATGTTATTTAATTTCAAAATGGCGCGTGTATATTTTTGTTCGTCGAAGAAGTGAAAATACAAATGCAATTTGTGAAAAAACTGCGAGTATACGGAGGGGGAAGTTTTCCGATTTGAATTCAGCGTGTTGAAAAATGTTAATTACCGTGAAAATATTTCAGTTCCAGGACATGCTTAATGAAAGTGAACAATATAGGGTCACGGCAAACGGCCTATCTGGGGACAAAGCGAATTCATAATATTTGCGAATTAGTTTAGCTTCTTTGCATACGTTACTACGTTTGTTTGAGGTATTTTTTAATGGATTACATTTTAAGACGTTTGGAGTTGATCAACAGTGCCGGATTATCTAGGGGGCAATGGGGACATTTTTCCCCCGCCCCCAGCTCCAAAGCATACTTAACGGCCCAAGAAAAACAATTTTTAAAAATTTAAGTTATTGTGGAGTTTTCCAATGACATAAATTCTCATTGAAAATCACAATATATTTAGGCCAGTCGCGTAATTTTGAAAGCTAAGAAGTTCTAGGGTCCTAAGTCAAGAACTATCTGCGTCTGGGCAACGATAAGGTTTCGAAACTCGACCGACTTAGCATCACGAAATGCTGGGCTCACTGCTGATAGACGAAATCATTTCCAACTTTGCATCGCTGAAATCACGTAAAATGCCAGTTTAACAATAAAATATAGGCTATACCGTGTATAGTTCTTGGTCATGATGTTATAGACAACACTTTAGTTTCGATTTGATTGTATATTTTATATTCACCGAATGCCGGCCCTGTAGTATTTTTGCCCCCGGCCCGGGGTTGAGTTAATCCGGCACTGTTGATCAATACGGCTGATGCATTGCAGAACCAAGTGCCATATTTTGTATTTTAACAATAATTAGTAACTGCATATAGCTATGTGAACTTCGTTAATTGCTGTTGATATATGCTTTCTTGCATGTATGCATACAGTTTGTTGAAACTTAAACAAACTTTAGCTTACTTCTCATGCACAATTAGTCAGTGTAATAAGTACAAGCAGAAGTACAAAACAGAATTCTGTTTAGTAGACAGATAACTTAAGCCAGGATTTTACCGGCAATTTTACTACCATAAAATTGAATGATCAATTAATGACGTGGTCATTGGTGAGTAAGTATAGGTTATGTTGAGGCAACGAAGGGATATGTGACTTATCGCGTTAATGAGTCAGAATAGAAATATTTCTTAATGCCATATTGCCTTTGTTATGTTGTTATTTCTCATTTTTTGTGCTGCAAAGACATTGCAGGTGAATTTTAGAGGGGGTTATTAATTGCAGGTGAATCTTAGAGGGGATTATTAAATGGAAATTGATTAGAGGAGAATGTTGATTATATTCCCCGATAAGAACAAAGGAAACCGAGCAGGGTGAAAAATAATTAAAAATAGTCTGGTCATTGGAAAGAAATAGCCATTTCATTAATCATTGACAATAAGCAGTAATAATAATGTGTAATTCCCATGTGTGCTTGAATGTTTGTACTGGCTGTCTCAAAAAAGATTCCAAACCTTTGAAATCAGATTGTTTTAGAATTTGCATGATTCAGCGTTAATTTATTCTAAAGGCGCATACTCAAAATAGAAAGGAATTTTATATTTCGTGATGTGCAGTGTAACGTGGACAGTCAGTACGTATTTTCAAATTCTAGGATCACAATACGTTGCACACCGGTTTTTGAAATGCTGATTAGTATGAAGTGGCTGGTATGCAACTTATCCATAACTTTTCTTGGCATAATATTTGGTATGCTCGATTAAATTGTCATCGTCAAGAGTTTTTAAATTTTACGACAACGTTATTTTACAATCCATGCACACACACAGAGCAGTAGTCACATGTACGCGGTGCGTACCTATTTTTGATGTTGTTATCCGCAAGCTACACTGACCACGTATTGAAGTAGATTAGAAGTGGCTCAACACTAACCCAAGTGCACTCCTCGGTACTCTTTTGCTTTACAGATGGTATATTCAAGAGTGACTTTTGCAAAATTAAAGATCTTGTAATCTTTTAAAAAAAATAAACCTAAAATATTCAAATATTGTTCACAAATTAGGATCTAGCGAAGTGGATTTGCTGCATGTAACTGTACATCTGGCGAAATATGACCTTAAAAAATGTGACCTTCGCGCCAACAGGGCCGTAGCTATAGTGTTAGTTGGGGGAGGGGAAGCTGTATATTTATATATTTGTGTTCTGCCCAACGGATTTTTTTCGAAATCAATTGTTTTTAAGTTCATTTCAAAAGTAATCAGTTCGGCACAATACGAATATATGAATAAACTGCCGCCCCCCCCGCCCCAATTAACATTCTAGCTACGGCCCTGGGCCACAAAATAGAAATAGAGCAGAAGCTTCACTCGAGTCGGAACCTTTGAAGTTTTTGTGCCGGCACATGTTACTTCCGGATCTTGGCCGCCATG